TTTGTCACGCTGTAAAGATTTTGTCACACTGTAAAGCTCCTTTAGTGGCATACATAAAAGTGTTGGCACTCTATCACAAATTACTTATCATGCAGGAAAGCATACTTCACTTCTGATTTCCTTTGTTTGAGTTCAAGGAGAGCAAATCTTCCCTAGAGAAAACTATCATTAAATTCTGAAAACTTATGAAATGCAATGTTAATATGCTACATAAATTTTCTGATACTAAAAATAAAAACAACCCCCCCGCCCTCTTTATGTTTTGTGAAATGTCTTCCAGATGTTCAATAACATATAATTTCTTTACACAAATGCTGGCAAGCAATTCCCATCATTATTTAAAAAGAAAATTATAGACAACAACTTGGGTGATACACGGTGTGCCAGGAATAAAGCTAATATCAGCACAAAACAAGACCATTCATCTTTGATTTCTCCAAAATTTCCAAGTTTGAGCACACAAAGGCCCTGCTCCTGCCCCTAAATTGGAAGTTATTACCCCGAGATAAATAAGTATAAATATGCCAAACTCTGTATTGGTTGGTGGACAATGGTTTTTGCTTTTGTTTTGCTGATATTTATACTTCCCTCCAGAGGTGACTGGTACAAACTGTGATGATGCAAAAATGACAAAATGTATGTCATGACATCACAATGCAGGCTCTGCCCCTTAAGTATTTTCGTATAACATTGGGACACAAGTATGAAAGGGACGGAGTTTCACAAAGATGATACCCATTTTGTCATCTGCTCCCCCACTCTCCCTATCCAAATGCCTGCGGTGTCCTTTTCCTTACACTGTGCAATAATCAAGGTTGATAAATCAAGTCTGCAGGATGAACCTTTGCCTGGTTAGGCTCCTGATTCCATCCTCCGGTCCCCCTAGGAATTACTAAATCAGGCTGAACAGAAAGCTTAGATAGCCATTCAGAGCTTGCTGAACTACAACTTATAGAAGCCCACCAACATGGTTAATGAGAAGGGAAATTGGTAGTTAATGAGAAGGGATCAGTAGTTCAGCAACATCTGCAGGGAAATAAGTTCTTCATCTCTCATGATCCATCTTTACAACCTGAAGAGTTTCCAGATTTTTGATCCCTAAAGCCATTTGTCACAGAATTCATCAGCCCATCATTTAATCCTTCCCATTGGTACATAATAAAGTAGCCATTAAATACAAAATGGTTTCCTGTTATCTGAATACACTTTAAAGCTGCTACCCGCTTCTTAAAACAAAACAGAATACAGAATCAGCCCTTCTTTAATCGTAACGTTCTTGTTTCATCCGTGCAGCCACAAGTCTAGATACAGGAAAGTCAGGCTACAGGACTGACTTCCCATTATTTTAGAAAGATTGTTAGCTTAGTTTTTCCCTGTAAAGAACTGTTGATATGCAATAGACAGGCCATTATGTTACAATGAGCTGACATAAAGATGTACATTTTAGCCTAGCAGGGATTTTTTCAGTTGGCAAATTAACCTAGATGGAAGATTCTCCTGGAAAAATGTACTCAATATTTTAGTTCTGCCAAAGTTTCAAAGATTTGTAGGGTAGCATTTCCAGTTTAGTTCTTAACTAATTTAACAATATCCAGCAAGTCTGAGGCAAGGCTGAAAGTCATTACAACCAGATGTTTCTACAACATTGCTGTCTATCTAGTCAATAGTGCCATCTCCTGGGCAGTGGCATGAAACATTACTGGATTCCTTTTCTTTCATCAACAGCAATTTTTATTTAAAGTTTGTTTAGTTGACAGAAATAACTAGATTCCCTAAGTCTGAAGATCTGATTCTTCCAACAGTTTTTTACTGCAACAGTCCTAGAGCTTCTATATCTGGGGTCTGTAAAAGTCTAGGTGCCCACTAGAGTTAGAGTTTTAGGTATCATACTGCTACCATCTAATGGTTGTCTGGATTTTTTGTAGGCCAACCTCATAGTCCTAAACTGACTTTCCTCCTTACCACCAATGCACAGAATGGGCAATATTTGTATGATCAAGGAACATCACTTGTTTGGGAAGATGAGGCTATCATCTTGTTCGGGTGGACATAGCTTGCCTTTTTTCTGGGAGAAGGGATGGTGTCATTTTCTAACCATGATGGGTCTGCTTTAGAGCTAACATTCATCTTCCTTTGCTTTTCACTTCAAAGTGACAGGAAATCGTGCCATCAGGGTTCAGTACTCATGGTCAGAAGAGTTTCTGAAGGTCATGAAAAGGGAACTCCATGGTCTGGAGGTTGTCCATCCTCTCTTTAGGGATTTCATATCATTTTAAGAAATAATGAATGTAACTTTTGTAATATTCATGAATAGAAAACCACAATTAAACATCGTATTACCTTCTGTTCTCTTCATTGCTGTACTTTTTTTCCCTACCCTTAATCTGAGAGCTATCTTGGGAGTCCTTTCAGAAGCCAAAATATTCAGTATTTTTCTCATAGGTTGATATTTAAAAAGTAATATTATTGAACTACCCCATTCACTGAGGGGATACCACTAGATTCCACTGACTAACAAGCAAATGTATTTTCAGTTTTTGTGAGTAATTATATTAGGACACAAATGGGATTTATGCTGCTTATTCCTAGCCTATTTTTAAATAAGGATTTAGGAAGTATTAGTTATTTCCATTCCCCTTTTAACTGAGCAAGGTGACCCCATTTATATTAAAGTTCTATCAAGTGAGTCCCAGTGACTTCTGTTATGGATTCTCCTCACAGGTTTGCTTAGCTTTGCTTCTCTCTCCTACTATCCTCCTCTTTTTTTCCCCTCATTGCCTTTTATAGATGGGAAATGGAAGTTACAAAAAACTGACATTTTTAGTCAGTTCCTGATTGGCCTGAGGTGTTCAGGTTCAACATTCTCAACTGTTTCATCATAAATTTCTAAGTTTGCCCTTGCTGGTTGCTGAGAACATAATCTGTTGTTCTTATTTAAATGTCATAAATTGTTTGGAATAAGTAAAACATAAATCTTGGACCTTATTTGTTAACAGTGCTAAAATATACAGATCATAAAGCATAAACATTGGTTACAAGTAGCAATTAAATGTTAATCTAAGAAGATGTATTTTATACTATTTTCAGTCTTCAGTGAACTTCTACATTCCCATTCCTCTTTCAGTGCTAACACATTTTATTACCTCATTTTTTATGTGTTATCTTCTTTTATTCTGTTCCTCAGTCTCTCTTATTCTGAAAGAATAAAAATTAAACAGGGGTTATATCAGCATTTTTAACAGTGTGGAAATGACTGAAGTAGTGTGTGTCAAAACAGCTAAGCTGAAAGGCTCTAGCCTTCCCTGAAGAGTCACATGCAAGATTAGTGCACCATTTCTGTATAAAGGTTAATATTAAAGTGATAGTGTTAAAATATGTATCTATATATGTGGACCAGGATTCATAACCTTGCCCAGGCTTCCTTTGATCTTTCCAGCTGTGTAGCAACTTTGTTATCTGATCTTTTCCAGCAGCAAAGAGCAGGCAAAGCTTGTGTTGAGGCAACCATTGCAATCCACATCTGATAAAATGGCTATCACAAACTGATGAATTTCCCTTCAGGTCTCTTCCTGAGGAAAGTTCATCTGTGGGGACCCTGTGGACAAGCCTTCTCAGATGGGCTTTACTTTTTTGGAAGAGCATCCCCCCGCCCAAGAGTAGACCAGCTCCCTCCCTATTAACATTCATGAAAGCCATTAAAATCTGGCTATCCCAAAGGTCTTCTGGAGGAGGGGTGAGTTAGAATTGCTGGGAAGAAGGAGCCCCCCCGAAATACTATGCTTCCTGGCCATGGATTACTCCTTTGGTGTGAAGAGCACTGTAACTGTAATTTGGACAAGATTTTGTAGGTCACCGTGGATTAGAGCAGTGTACCTAGCAAACAAATACCTAAATAAGACAGAAAAGCTACTCTTCAATCTTTCTAGGAAGACTCCTTTTGGTGCATTCTGACTCTAAGAACACAGCATGACTTCATTTATAGTATGGTTTGAAAGCACAAGTCATACTATATTTTCTCCATCATACATAAAGATTGATCAAGTGACCATAGTAATAGATGGGCAATATTCTACAATGTAGAAATAACAGTCATAATAATAATAGCCCTGGAGCCCAAATGCCCAGATTTTCCTCAAAGGATACGCAAAGTAAGATGTTCTGGTTTTTGCAGAAGAATAAATGTCATCAGCTCTGGTCTTCCTAAATGTATTTGTATGGGGAATAGATTTCATTTATAGCACTCTCTGATTATGTGAAAGAGCAAGTGAGTGCACTGGGCTAGTTCCCTGATGATGAGGTGCGGCCATGCTCCCTGGTTCATGTGTGATCATCTTAGTCACTGAAGGTGACACTGTCCCTCCTCCCACCCTTGATAAGGGAACCTTGAATGACCACAGTTCCTGGCCCTACTGAGCTAAGTGGAATGTGTGTCACTCATGATGGCACACAGTGAGAAGAGCAAGTCTAGCTCTAGACAAACCTGGGTCTTCTCTAGAGGTATATTTACTGCTAGGGAGCCTGGCTGGCTTGCATTACAAATGAGTAATAAAGTCTCCTTGGAATCAAGCTGAATTTCTGGTGACTTCATGCATGTTCATCTAGTTTTCTTGGCAATGCCATAGATATGATTTGCCTTGCCTACTTCCAACCTGTTATATATTTTTGTTTTAATTACCCAGTCTATCCCACAGCCCTGGCATTCCCTGGTGGTCTACCTTCCAAGTACTAACCAGGCCCAAGTCTGTTTTTCTTCCAAGCCCAGGGTCAGCCAGGAGCTGCCACCAGCTGAACATTATAAACCTCAGTGCATTTAATTTTATCCTCAGAGATTGACATGTAGAAGTCATATAAGCAGAGCGTTTAGCAATGTCATAATTATAATTTGCTTAAGTTATATTAATACTTGCTGATTTTTTTAGTTTGATCAATGTGGTGAACACCAAGTAGTTAATATTTCCTCTTTCTTCCTTTCTCCCCTCTCCTACCCATGTTTTTCTCAGTCATAGAAACATGCAGCCACCTTGGCCAAGTATATGCTGACCGAGATGTGTGGAAACCAGGACCATGCCAAATTTGTGTGTGCGACTCAGGAGCTGTTCTTTGTGATGAAATTGTCTGCGATGATCGGGAGTTACCATGCACAAATCCAGAGATTCCATTTGGAGAATGTTGCCCTATTTGTCCAACTCCAACACCAACACCTGTAAGTTCCACATTTATTTTACTGTATTTTCATGCAGTTCCAGATCAACATCAATTCTGCTTCAGGGTTTAGATGTAAAATAGTTCCATCCTCTCAATTTCAAAGGGATATGCTCAGAGACAAATCTTTGGGGCTTGAACAAGATCTTGCTGAAGCAGAGCCCTATTGTTCTTGACCCTACTTGCTCCAACTACTTGGTGCTATTTTCAAAAGATTTGGACACTCATTTAAAGCATGAGATATTAACATGGAAAAGAGCTAAACCATCGGAGATAGAGGGGAACAAAATCTCTAGGGTGAAGCTGATACTTTCTTTTCCAAAGGTCTACATTTTATTGGGCATTATCAATTGGAGAACAAATACTGTCAGTAGAAAGAGCCACAGCAAAAAGAGATCTCCCTCCCCCCCCCCACTTCCTGCTACTCTTCTCTCTCTCTCTCTCTCTCTCTTCCATCTTTTCTCTCCCCACCCTAACATCCCTATCTATATCTGTCTCTCTTCCAGCCCAGCAGGTTGCCAAGGGAGGGACACATTGATTTTGCCAGAAGTCTGAACTGCTGGAAGATTTTTCAAATTAGACCAACATCTGTATACAATCAATCTGAGGGTGGCAGGTTGCCCATTCCTGTTCTAAACCACTCCTCACACTCCAGCAGACCAATTCATGGAGGTCCTGGAAGGTTCATATCCTTCCTTTTTGCATATAATGGAGACCTCTGTCCTTCCTGAGGTGATAGAATAGAATGTAAAGTGCCAAAATATCCTGCAGAAAGTTGTTTTTGCAATCCTTTCCAACCAGGCATCAAAAAGGAAGTCTCTCAGCAATCTTCCAAGATTTGCTCTTCCCACTAGAAATGGAAAGATGCTGCTAATGGTTGAGCATTTCAAAATTGGCCTGGACTTGTTATTCATTTGAATGCCTGGCAAGTATCACAAGTATTTGCTCCAGCCAAAAACATGGATCCAAAGAACACTAAAACTCAGTCCCAAGAGAAGACCCAGTTTGTTCACAAGTGATTTGCCAAGAGCAAAATTCAACTGGAACTCTCCCATAGTGCCTGGATGGTTGGAAAGAAGTTCACACTGAGCACTTGGTTTCTGCTAGTTAAACATGTTCAAAATGTTTGAATCAGATCTGAATCATGATGGAAACTTTTGTAAAATGGAGTATCTCTGTCCATTTTAGGATTACATACATATTCATTTTAGGATTACATACATAGTTTTAATCCCAAATGGAAATCATTTCTTAAGTACTAGTCTATTTTATATATCAAGATGTTCTGCTGTTTTTTCTCATAATATTTTGAAAGCACTGTGTTAATTTTATACTGCTAACAAAATAAAAGTAAAGTTCTGTGCCCGGATCACATATATGGGAGCAAGATTTACTGAATGCAATGGATCTTACTTCTCAGTAAACATATAAAGGATTGGAATATATAGAAATTCCTCAACCTATCCATTGTCCAAGTGAGTGGATTTCAATTCCCAGAATTCTCAGCAGAGGCTACGTTGAACAGGGAACGTAAGAATGAAAGACCATCACATCTGATAGTGCCCAGGTTGAGGGAAGCCAATATTCTTCAGAAGAGATATTACGGATTAGATTTAAATTGCTACTTCCTATTGAAACTGACATAATACACTGTCATCCTTTGGATTTGTTCATTAATTTTTCGTACTAAAATGCCCTGAAAGTAGGGTAATATTTTTATAAAAATGCAGATTTGCCATATAATCCATCTTTCACTTGATACACTCTTTTTTACTACAAATAATGGAAGGTCCACACGTGAGGAAGGCCTTACAAAGTTTCTTAATAGGCCTGTTGGTGGATGGAGGAAAAGCTCCAAAGGAGATGTAAATGGCTGAGGTCATTTATCTTTCCAACAGTGCCTATGAGAAAGCATCACACCAGGACAATGGAAGAAATTAAAATTTCAGCAGCTCAGCTACTCACTTGAAGGTAGCCTCCTGCAGGGAGCCTTCTGGAGCTCTGGCATCCAGAGGCACTGTGGGCCAATACCAAACCTTTAGCCAAGGCCATGCTTGCTTGGCTTAGCTGACAATAACTCCATGCATTCCAGGGGGCAAGTTATTTCAGTAGCTTTTAAGTTAAGCATACTGCCAGTACACTAAATTAATAACCTTTGAATTTTGACAGCAAAACCTGTCCTTGACCTCTTATGCATGCAAGTGAAGATCTGAACTCACTATTCATGCATATAGATTGTGAACATGTCTGCAAAATTATGGATTTGGACATAGCCTGTGTTCAGTTTTCATGCATATATGTTTACTTGTATATAGATCCATAGCAGGGCTGGCCATTGCCAACTTGCTATACATGAAGGACTTCAACCTGCAGAGAGAAGAGAGTAGTGCACGCAGTCTGGCCCTTAATCTCTTGGATTCCCACTCACCCTAATCTCCAGACATTCAGCCAGTGGTCTGGAATGGAGATTTACTCATAGTTGCTTGAACTTGAGTATAGGTCTTCACACAATCTATGACCTTCATAAATCAGGGTCCTGGATCATGTGGAAAACTGTAATTGTATCATGCAAATACATTCAAGTTCAAATTACCTTCAGACTTCCAGCTATGTGGGGTTGGGGAAAGAATAGACCAGGACTATGTGCACAGACTCAAACTGTCTCCTCTCTTCCCCCCCCCCCCACATATGATTCTGATCATAATGAAGAAGATAAAATAAGACCTTAGATATTTCCAAGTTGATTAGGTATTGGAAAAAACTTTTCATCAGGTAACAACTACAATGCACCACAATCTGCTCTCCCAATGGTTGTGTATCTCTTGTTCTGTAGACCAGATGCCCAGCCAAACTATTACAAGGTATACCTGAACCTCTGGAAAAAGACATTTCATACTCATGGATTATATTGGAGTTGAAATAATATACTTCATCCAGCATGTTATCATTCTTGGTGCCCAAAGTACTTGACTATTTACATAGAAATATTGAGCAGAAAGGGAGAAGAGGAAGGAAAGGGAGGAAATATTGATGACAGGAGGGAGAGTCAGCACAAAGAGGAAAGAGATGATAACCTTCAATACTGGTTCATTATATTCCTAGGACTAAATTTACATGCTTTAATTACATTAATATGAATAGCATAGCATAGCATAGCATAGCATAGCATAGCATAGCATAGCATAGCATAGCATAGCATAGCATAGCAATGTAATGTAAACCCAATAGCTGGCACCAACTATTGGGTTTGTAGGCCATGAATTAAACCTATAGCCTAACTATGGAGTAGGTGTACTCCAAGTCCCATCAGCCCCAGCCACCACGGCCAAATGAATAGGCATGATAGGAGATGTAGCTCAGTTCCATCTGGAGGGTGCAGGTTATCTTACCCTCAATGATATTTTTATTTATTTTTTTATTTATTATTAAACTTGTATGCCGCCCATCTCCCCCAACGGGTGACTCTGGGCAGCTCACAATAACATGGATATACCAATATATCCATATCATTTCACTCAGTTGGTGGCATCTTTTGTTTTATTTGAAATTCTGGTTGATTGTTTTTCAGTAGGCCTTTGTGTTGCATTTATTGCTCAATCTGACAGTGTTTTGTTTTTTCCTTCTAGCCTGATAGAACTCGAGTCCAGGGCCCCCAAGGTCCCAGGGGAGAACCCGTAAGTTCATTTAATAAGCAAAAATAAATCCTTCTCTCTTATTTATTTTTTTTAAAGCAAGCCAAGAGCATGACTCCCAGGTGTACTTATTTCTGATCTTAGCCTCCTACTAAAGTCGGCATCTGTTGCAGATCATTTAACTGCTGGACTAAGTCCTTCTCCCTAAAAAGTCTTACAGGCTTCAGAAGAAAAGCCTACACAGCTATGGATGGGGCAGCTGCAAATGGAAGAGGGGTTTTCCCATCATCACTGTCTTTCGTGAGAGGTGGGGGAGGCAGCCTATGAGCCATGGACCACATGTTTCTTCCCCACTGAAATTCAGCAACAAAATATGTTATACTTTGTTACAGTTCCCATCCATCCACACATACTTTTTTTTTTCAATTTAAATCACTTGGACCCAATCCAAGGGGGGGGGAAAGGATAAAATTGGCTGAACAGTTTTGGTCCTTACATCTATTAAAAACTGGAAAAGAAATGAAAGTGTGGCTCCTGGCCAAAAAACAGCCATGTGTCCCCTTGCTTGGGTACAGTGAAAATTGAACTGTTTGAAAATGCAGTAAGGATGGATAGCTCAGTCTGTCCTGTTTATGCAAAATATATTCATAATATTTCATTTAAAAATGCATTCATTTTTAAGGATTTTATTTTCTTTCCACAAAATGCATGATTTAGTATGTGCTTTAATGCAACATGCTCATTTTTCTGGGCATTTTGTTCTAAATATTGATCCTTGCTTGCCTTTAAACTATACAAAGGAGGCTGAGCTTCCTTTGCCCACTTGCCAGTTTGCTGTAGAGATCGTACCAGGATTTTTCCATATCATGCTATATTTCTCACAAGGCATTTACTTTAACTGACTGCTCATGAGATAGAGCTTTTCTGATGTGAAGTATTCCATGCATCCTCTAGACAAGAAACCATTTGGGTATTTGTGCAGGATATTCATTTTTTCCATTTTCTCCCCTAAAATTATGTTTAGGGCCCACCTGGTACTCCTGGAAGAAATGGATCACCTGGTTCCCCTGGCCAGCCAGGAATTCCTGGCGAACCTGGCCCCCCTGGAATCTGCCAAAATTGCCCAAGTATCAATGGAAATGTAAGTAACTTTCTTTCCATCATCTTTTTTGTTTGTTTGTTTGTTTTGGTTAGTGTGAAAAGTTAATATGCAATGCTTGGCATGCTACTGGTTCAGAAACACAAAGGTTTTTGTTTTTGTTTTAAGATCAGTGTTTCTCAGTCTTAGCAACTGCAAGACGCATGGACTTCAATTCCCAGAATCCCCCAGCCAGCATGGATTGGGGAATAATTAGATGAATTATTTCTACTAAACCCCTGCAAAAAGTGGTATGAACAAGGCAAGAATCATTCTGGATGGCAAAATCTAGATGTTATGTGTTTGCAGCATATAGCTTGGCAACCATGTTTACTCTCACATGTTCTGTAGATCATTCTGTATTTTACTATGATTGTGGTGCACTTGTTTGAAAATTAAAATAAGCTCCCTAAAGAGCTGGTTAATGTATGATATTAATCGTTTTCCAAACTTATGCAGACATTGAAGGAGGTGCTCACAGCAAATCTAAATTAAAGGAGACCTTTAAAGAGATCCTGTTGTGGAGAATGGGGAGGCAATCCACCTGCACATACCTGGTGTTTCCAACCTTAAGAGGCCCCATGCTTCTGGCCCCTCAGGGGTTCTGAACCAAATTTATGAAATGACTTAGCATGTGATAACTATTATGAAATGTTAAAAGAATGGCCAAAACAAATACTACTATAATTTGTCCTTTTAAAAAAACATTTGGAATGTGTTCAGGGATGAATCTTTCCCTCCAGACTGCTATTGTATCGTAAACGTGAAATGGTATCTCCAGTTAACAGGCTGTGAAAAACTGTGAAGAGTCTGAGAAAGAAATGCGAGAAACTCTAGGCATAAGCTATCAATGAACGGGAGAGGAATCCATTAGTAGCTTACCTCATCAACAGCAGCTCAGCCCGGGTTGTAAAAAGCTTGGGAAGATTTTAAAATATTCAAGGAGATTCCACCTTAATGAACTCACTAATAATAATGGCTGACATTTATTGCAGTTTCCAAGATTCTGTATCTCACCCTGGATTCTTGCATTAAAATCCCTTACTGACGTTAGTGTGACTCTTGCTTTCTGGAACACATCCTACAGTACAGGGCTTGACACAGGCTGAGGGGTTTTGGGTTTTTTTGGTAATAATTTTATTAAAGTTTACAAATACAAAGATAAAAGAGTAATACAAACTAAGAAAAATATAAAAAGTGAAGAAAAGAAAAAGTGCAGAGAGAAAAGAAGAGAAAAAAGAAAAGGAAGAAAAGAATATAAAAGTAACTCCCCACTCCCTCCAGTCAAGTATAAACAACTCCCCTAACTTTACACCTTCTCTGGGATTTCAGTAATAAAAAAATCTCTTCTTCCCATATCTCATCTCCTACCAATAACAAATTATAAAAACTCATCATTCAGTTCTATTCAGCAAAAGTCCATTAAGAGCTACCAGAAATTATGTATTTGTGTGTGTGTGTGTATTTATTAACCTTAATGAAATAAATCCATTTTGTGCTCCAACTTATCACTTTCTCTAAGAAATAAAACAAAAGAAATCTCTCCCCAGTTGTAAACAAATCTTTAAAGCACCATCATTCAGTCCTGGTCATAAAGAAATTCCATTAACAGCTACTACGAACCAATACACACACACATACACACACACGCCCTGATCAAGTAAGTTCACTTTCGTTTACTTTTTTAAAGTTTGGTCTTTAATCCCAACAAATAGTGTCCCACAAGTTGATTTCTTATCTTTTTCTCTTTGTCTCCTCTCAGGAACAGCTTCAGTAGTTTAACAGGTCCCTTTTGTAAGTCCAAAATGAAAAAGCTATGCAAGTCACTCATACACACACACGCCCTGATCAAGTAAGTTCACTTTCGTTTACTTTTTTAAAGTTTGGTCTTTAATCCCAACAAATAGTGTCCCACAAGTTGATTTCTTATCTTTTTCTCTTTGTCTCCTCTCAGGAACAGCTTCAGTAGTTTAACAGGTCCCTTTTGTAAGTCCAAAATGAAAAAGCTATGCAAGTCACTCTTCTGATTTATTATTTGTGTGTCCCCTTTAGTTATGAAAACATCAGCCAGTTTTATTCCTGTCACCCGGTGCAGCGACATCCAGCAGCCCTAACCAGTATGCCTAACAGTGGCAATGCTGCTATTCAGCAGTAACTGGAAGTTCACAGCTTCTCCACCCATGCTGTGTCCCTCCCTTGACTTTCCAAGCTGTTTCCCCAGCATAAGGGGATAATGTCCTTTTATCCCCCCATCTAAGCCCCAAATGAATTGGAGTTTGATTTATCCGCTAGGGGCGTGAAAGTGTGGCCTACGATTTCAAGCTGAGGATATCTGATAAAGGGAAGTGTATATGTATGTATGTTCCCAGTGTATCATTTGCTGACCTGTTCATTTAATAATGGCTACTTCTCTCTTCAATTTGTTTTCCCCTGCAGACCTTTTCTCCTCAGTATGACTACGATGTCAAGGCTGGACCAGTCTACCCTCCTCCAATTGTAAGATAGTAGCATGACCTCTGTGCTGCTTACATGGCTTTCCAAAGAATTGATTTTCTCTCCTTGCACAGGTTATCTAGCAAACAAATACTGATTTGTGATTGCCTAGAGCATAAGTGGATTAAAGCAGGATTCTCCCAGGACACAGCCCTTGGAACTCTGATTAGAGACTCTCTGAAACCTTTTACCCAAATCAGAGGTTTCCTTGATGTTTCTGCCTCACCTTCTAGTTCTTTTTCCTTTCTACATTTTACAGCACTCCTCTTCTGTTTTCATCACCTGCTTCTTTGTTCCCATATTGTTCCCGCAATGTTTGCTCTTCCAATTCTTCTCGTCTAGAACTTTCTCCCCATTTTTCTCCACTGCAACAATTTTCCAGACTATTAATTGTACAGTGTTTGCTTTTTCCAGAATGCAGATATCAGTGGATAGCAAATCAATGTGCTAATGGTTTAGCATTCTTTTCACATAGGTGAGCATGTTTGGACTTTTTAAGTTTGCAGCTTCTCCCAATAAAGATGTTCAGATCAGTCATTTCCCATGATGTTACAAGGAGGGCTATGCTCCAACTTAGTTGCCAACACCAAATCCAGGTTGAATGAGGCAATTTTGGATTATTATTTTTTTTCCCTTTTTTTTACTCAGTTGACTTGGCATGGTGCTGCCTTTTACATGTAGGTTGGCCTAGGCACAGGCTTTGAGATGGATTGGAATATTCTGGGGGGTAAAGAGAAGGATTGTGTGAGGGATTTTTGGTCTTTGGAAAAAAATCACACAAAACTTCCTCAGACGAATGCCTGAAAAGTCCAGGAATAATAATTTTATATCAATGGACATTAGGCACCTACACTTTTCCATGGTGGTAATTTTTATTCACCTGGGGCCTGTTTGGAGTGGTTTCTCCACTGTAATCAGGTAATCTCCCTGAAGGAAGGCTTTCTGTCAAACAGTGAAGGTACATCTATTTGCTCAGACATTTTTTCAGCTGCCAGTATTGTCAGCTACCCCTAATGATGTATTCTATGACCTTAATTTGAATTTGGTTTCAGTATATATTATATTTGTGTGATTTTATTGAGTAAACTCCTGGGTTTTTCTATAAAAATAATAAGCAGCATGCAAATTCTGTTCACAAAAAAATTAAAGAAAGCAAATATTTTGACAAGACCTGAAAATGTAGAGCTCCGTGCAACTGTATAGCAAAATAAATATGAATGAGAAGTAGAAGGATCTACCTAAGATCCAGTCCAAGATATTTCACTGCCTGAAATGGATTCCAGCCTGTGGATTCTGCTACATCAACATTAAACATTTCTACCCTTTAAACTTGCTGGTGGCCCAAGGAGGTCCTATTTCCACCCTTCAGGGTGCTGAGAAAAGCAGATTGTTTTCTTCTACACATGTTAGGGCTGACTTGGCCCTACAGGAATTGAGGGTGGGGTGAGTGTGTGTGTGTGTGATATCTGCATAATCTGTGAAAAGGGCAACTGACCTCACACTGGACTATTAAAAGTGCCCTCAACAGACTTTCATGGTTGTTGTCTACATCTCTCCTATATTGTCCATTAACTACCATGTTATGAATCATGAAATTCATTTGTCTTCTGTTCCTCACAGGATTTTTCTACTTTCAGTCCATCCATCCATCCATCCATCCATCCATCCATCCATCCATCCTCTAATTCATTCATCTGTTTCCAATTGCTCACCATTTTTTCCTTCTCACAGCTTCTGTGTTTGTCGTGTGCTGCTTGGCTTCTGCATCTGAGATGTGGTGAACCAGAGAGGAAAAAGAAATGCCTTCTCCTTTCATGTCCCTGGTTCTAAAGTGCCTGTGAGGTCCTGGTTTTGCTTGGGGTGGGAATTGGGGAATGCCCGGCCAGAAGGACTACAGCAACCTTCCCTAGGTGGGCACTCTCCAGATATGTTGGACTGCAACTCTTGTAATTTCCAGCTGGCAGTGAAGTTGTTGAATTTGACATTAAATATAACTGGAGAGCATCCAGCAGAGGAAGACGTCTATGGTTATATACTATCAGTGGGACTGCACTTAAAAAGAAAAACATTTCAATGCCCCAGAATTCTTTTTTGTTTATATTTTTCCGCAACATTTTTTAAAATGGATCCAGGAATGTGTGTCTGCAATCAGAGGTCTTTTCCCTGCATTTTTCCCTTTATTTATTTATTTTCCCGCACTTCCACTGGGATCGGTGGAGCTGTTTCCATAAGCAAAGCCTCCAACTTCATGGGTTGCTGGGCATACAGGGCTTTGGATGAACATGACTGTATGAAGCCCCATAGATGGTTCAATGCAGTTGCACCAAAATTCTGTGACAAGCAGTGACTTTCAATATTTCATCGCTTACTGCGAGAGATATGATTGCATACCTCCTGCTTAGCAAGAACAGGCGTTAGCCCAAATGAGTTATAAAACAATCTTACAAAACGAAATCAACCCATTTTTATCACAATAGCAATTCACTGGAAGAGGTATTTCTTTGTCAGCACATCTCTATGTCATTGATTTATTTCTGTTATTGTGAAGTTTGACTTTTTAATTTTGTATAGCAATTCCTTGTTTTTAGTGTGCTTGCTTTTCACAAAGATCTCAGAAAATATCAATATGTAAATGCAATGTGTAACCCCAATTCTCTCTCTCCTGGTCTCTTACTCACTTTGAGAAATACTGTTTTATTCTATTGTATCCACTGCATTAAAGTGATACCAATCCAGTTATTCTGAAGAGACAAAACTAGCCATCATAGGATAATCATACATCAGCTATACAGTAAGAGAGCCTTTTCCATCAAGAGCAAGCAGTATCCAACAGCAAGAGTTGCACGCTTGTCAGTGAATATCCCTAACAAATAGTGAGGAATTCCCTGCTGTATTGTAAAGCAGGCTGGATATTTATTTAATGAGCAAGAGTGAATATCTGGCAATCCTCTTCAGCAAGCCATACAGCATCCCTGCAGAGATGTTGGACATGCATTTTTAAAACAAGATGCAGAGAAATAATATATAGAGAAAACAAAATGGTCATTACACTACGATTTTGAGAGAGAAAGAGAGAGAGAGAGAGAATGATGATGAGAGATAGAGATAGAGATATCCAATAACTCATGCACGTTTTGCTAGTACTCAAAGAGCATGATAGATGGTTATGACATGATGTTGTTACAATCATTTCTACAAGGAGTTCAAGGCTGTATCCGTTGCCCTGAGCTCCTTGTAACCCTGTGAGGTAGATTAGAGTGAATTGATGCAAAACTGCACCTTTCCACTGCTCCCAAGCTTTCAGTGAGACAAGCACAGACACCAGGTGAGGATCTGGCAACTCTGCTCAGGTCAGCCAGGTACGTGGTACCTATGCATCACTTCCCAGAATCCATAATTAATCACAGGCAGTGCACAAATGAACTTGGCTTACTAAACAGAAAGTTCTATCTTATCCCAAAGACTGGTGCTGCCTTCTTTGCTCTGTGTGCAATGAGTTCTCTTCACCAAACACCAGCATAGGAAGTGGAATCAGTTGGAACTGAACTGAAATGCTGATTTAATACCAAAGTGGTTCAAGTTAAAGCATTTCCACTTTTCACATAACTAGCTTTTGTTACAGTATGCACTCTGTCCTCTGCACTCTGCTTCACTGCAGCATCCAAAGTTCATTTTACCTGCAAGTCATTGTGTCGTTTTTCTATCTTCCCCATAGACTGGACCTGGAGGTCCTGGAGCTCCTGGAGCTCCTGGCTCACCTGGGCTTCCTGGTCCTGTTGGTCATCCAGGTCCACCTGTAAGTATATGTCATTTCTTTTCCTGTTTCCAATTATATTTTATATTGTTGGCTTGTTGAGCTGGATTTCATGTCATGAATAAGGGCATGGATTTGCATTAAACTCTAAGGGACATAGTTTGGCCCTGGGAAAGAACCAGAGGAAATAGCCTGTAGCCTTCTGCTATTTAATAGGGCTGTTAAAGATGTTTTGAATCAATATTCTTTCTTGGGCTGTCTTCTAGTATAGCTATTAAAGCATAGCCCTTCTTCAGGAATAAGGAGGAAAAAATAATACCCAGTTTGAGATTTGAAAAGATGTCAGACATTTCAAATCATCAAACATGCCAGTCAGGAGCAGGCTGATCACACAGTTGGGGTTGCTATCTTAACTTTTTTACCCCCATCCTGTGGATACCCTTGCCACAGGAGGAGGAGGGAGGACGAAAGAAGCATAGAAATCTGACATTCATTTATATAGCACTTTGTCCAAACAAACAATTGCTTATAAGATATATTTAAGTTATTTTTATGTGCAGAAATGAAATAGAATGGATTCATTTGGTCCAGTTCCCTGTTGCTGCCTAAGGGTCTGATTGTTCACACAATGAGAATTTGTTCCATCTGGTTGTGAGTATGGTATGCAGTGAACTAATGAAAGCAACTCCTGTTTTATCTATTAGGGACCCCATGGATACCAAGGTCCAGCTGGTGAACCTGGACAAGCTGGAGCTCCTGTAAGTATCAATGTTTATTTCTGCAGAACTAACCTCAAAATTTCATTTCCCTAGAGATCATACTTACATATCATATTATAAGATAGGCACATATGTGTGTGTGTGTGTACTTCACAAAAGACTTACAGTCAAATATGTTAGTTATCCAGTTTGAAAAGTAGTTTGCTTCATGACTGAATGAAACAATGTGCCTCTTAGACTATTACACTGTTCAGAGGTCATGCACAATCACACACATGTATACAAATGTGTTTTAGAAGCTGCAGTTGTGTTTACCAAGGAACTTCCCAACAGCATGCAAGAGCTTTTTAGAGCTATGATTTTAAAGCAATCCAGAGTAGAAAGAACATATCCTTGAAATACTCTGCCAAAGCCTATTATGTTGCAGAATTATTAAAATACGTTTCACACCTGTAAAATCTCAGAATTACCTTACATATTTTTACATTGCTGAAACAAAAAAGCATGTGAAAAATCAGCAAACCCAGTCACCTTATAATAGCCTAGCAACCCACAAAATGCACTTCTCTCAGATATGAATTCCTCTGTCAGAAATTGGATTTTTTGGTCACATATATTTTTATAATTTTGGGGAGGGGGCATGCCTTTGAGTCAGTGTTGGCCCCCGGCCGTTGCCTGGACAGGTCCCTTCAGTTTTCTTGGCAAGTTTTTGGAAGTTGTTTGCCCTTGTCTTCTTCCCAGGGCTGAGAGAGAGTGACTGGCCCAGGGTCACCCAGTTGGCTTTGTGCCCAAGGAGGGACTAGAAGTCAGTCACCTGGTTGCTAGCCTGGTGCTTTAACCACTACACCAAACTAGGCCTCATATTTTCATCAGTAGAACCCCACAAAAAGGAAAGTCAGTTTATCTTTGGTTTTTGTTTAACATTTATAATCTATAGTGGGGGAAAAATTTATCTTTAATGTTCTTTTACTTTCCAGGGCCCTGCTGGACCTCCTGGAATGATTGGACCCCCCGGACCTTCTGGAAAAGATGTAAGTTTTTAGTTATCAATACCTAAATAAAGATAAAGAGATTTGGTGGCATGTCTCTCTTCAGACACACGTGGCATGAGTGGCAATACCCCTCCCCCTGACTTCTTAATCTTTTCTTTGGCCTACAGCACACTTCAACATAGAAGGTTGCCTAATGCTTAAAAGCAGGTTTTGAGGGGAAGACAGTACATTGAAGAGGAAGGAGTAGGAAAGCCACACCATAAGAAAAGAATTCTACTCATACACTGGATCCAAACAATTCTGATTTTTCACAAACGGGTTTTGGCATCTCAATTTTAGATTGATATTTCAACCCAGTTCACCAAAGCTCTTTTATGTGTCTACAGTATGGTGAAGTAGAAATCAACTAGATTCTATCCTTTGATGCAGAACGTTAGACTTTTATTGTTTTTTCAGATAGAATGTTTGTTTAAAGGTTGTTTTAAGTTGTTACGTTGTAAATTCTTTGAACTGGCTGTATCCTAGCCTTTAGACAGTTTCTTCCAGATTAGAGTTTATTTCAATAAAGACATAACTAAAGAGATAATGCTCGTGCCTAAAATGGCTGCAATGCTTATTAACCAAATGTGTGTTAGCAAAGACATACCTTTGAAATGGTATTTCTCCTTTGTTTGTTCCTGCTGTTCCCAAGGAAGAACCCTTATATTTTCCAAGTTCCAGTTATTCTGGATTAGGTCCTGAGTTGCTCTTTCACAACTGAAAGGGCTCTATTCATTTATGCAGTCCTCAAATCTAGCAGAGGCTTCTGCTGAAAGAAGGAGGAGAGGTGATTTTTGAGCACTTTTTTCTCACAACTTCTTGTTTTAGATCATATGTCATTCCATGGGGTGCAAAGGATATAGAAAAAAAATGCAAAATAGAGGCATTCCACCCATGCTGTAGATTGTCTCATAAGTAGAATTCTAGGTGCATTGTAATGAGATCCAACCAAACACATTCAATCATCTCATTAGAAAATAGGGGATATTTCAGATGAGCCAACACCCTACACATAGCCACATATTTCTGGTTTAAATTTTGCAGAGTCTATCATCTGTGAATGTGTTTTGTTTGTTTTCACCACTCATATATAAACTTACAGCAATCTAGAAGACTTCCCATTCCATTGTACATAAAACTACTAGATGATGTAATAGTCAGTACTCTGATTGACTAGTTCCTTCATTATTAATGAAAAGTCAGGTGAAGGAAGGAACAGGTGGTTTCCGTCATAGTCCAGGTTGCCTATTCACTGAAAGCCACTATAAAAGAAAATGAGAAAGATTTTGCCTGAAGGTCTGCTGAAGATACATTGGCGGTAGGGAGGAAAATAATTCAGTTGTCCTAATTCTTGTAAGCTCATTCTTTTCTTCATAACAAACTCTTGCTAAAGAGAGGGTGAGTATTGTGCAGAGAAAAAAAAATTAGTTTCAGTATTTGGTAGTTGCTAACAGCCCAATAGGCAGTGACTCCCTGAATATAGAGCCAAAGGTTCTTATCATTATGTAGTCTTATTTTCTAGTTTCTTCTCAAAACCGCTACAGAATATATATATATGTATATGTATGTATATTGTAATTGTATATTATGTCTTTAGGGAGAAGCTGGAAGGCCTGGAAGACCTGGGGAACGTGGATTGCCTGGCCCTCCTGTAAGTAGAGGAAGCACACATTTTTTCTTCTTTTTTGATATGTTGGAAACACCCAAAAAGGTGTTAAGCCTTCTGAGAAACACCTACATACATACATGTGTGTGTGTGTGTGTATCCTACCCCCCATTTCAATCACTTGTGTAATGTAATTATAACATTGTTTTCCCTACTGCATCGTTCAGTCACTGAAAAAAAAAATCTAGAAAAACAGAACACCACCTCTCCCCCCCGCCCCAAACTCAGTCTTATTTTATAGGAAAAAGCCATATTATTTCATAACACAGGGTCAAGGGGAACTGGCATGTTTTGGCATCCATCTCTGGAAGCCAACAAGTTAGAGAAAGGAAGCAGGGAAAAAAAGAATGCTATGTTGCCATTTGTTCAGTCATGAGCCACAAAAATTCATATGGTTTGTCCAGGCATAGTCCCATTCACCTCACCCTCCAATGAAGAAATACCCAAATAAATACAAAAATGCCTTCCCACATGTGTTATCTGACAATGAAGCTACAAATAAGACATTTTGCTTTGCCAGTTGAATTCATTCAGTTGTATCCAGATCTCCTATATTCTTGGCTCAATTTTAAGATTGATGTTTGTTGATCAATTATACTGATTGCTATTGCTAGTTATCTAGCTCATGAGAAAGGCCTCTGAGTTGCAGGCTTTATTCACATTTGTTAAAATAGCCATGCTGTTCCAGTCATTCTGCACCTACCGCTTTCTTCCTGGCTCATATATCTTCCTTGCCATTTCATCAGGAAGAATGTGAGAACCCAACTGAGGGTGCCGCAGTAACAACACCTGAAAGTTGTAAGCCAAACACAATCAGTCAGATGACTCACAGCAGATGAAGCAGAGGACAAATAGCATGAAATCACATCCTATGCTTATCAAACAACAAAATCAAAGAAAATGCAGTGACACCCATGCCTGCTAACTGAGTTTCTCAAGTATCAAAACAAAACCCTTAATAAACATAGAGGATTCATTAAAATTCAGTTTTGTGAAAACAGCCATTTCTTTCTGCAGTCAAAGCTGAAGAATGCTGGTTTTGGATCTATTGAAAACAAAAGATTTTGAAATCCCCACAAAACTTATGAACTCCTTGTAACTGAATATTCAGAAATAATCCATTCTCAGGGTGAGATTTCTGAAATGATGAATCCTTTATATTCTGAAGTATTGGAATCTTCCATTCTTTTGGCTTTCTCTAGTTTGAGTCCTTTGATAATCCCTCAGTTATTCCATTACCCATGCTTAAACTCCTAACCTATTTATCATTACCTGATGGTCGTAACATTTCAGTGCAATTCTCCTCTAATTGCTCTATGTCTCTTTTGATTTAGGGCCACAAAGGTCCTGGTGGAATGCCTGGAATGCCTGGAATGAAAGGTCACAGAGTAAGTGTTCAGCATCAAACATTCTATAATAAAAAATTGGTGGGTGGTATCAACCCAGGTATCCTAGCTCTGGCTCAGTCTTCCCCAATTTAGTACTCTCCAGAAGATTAGGCTGATTAGATTGATTTCTATAGAATGCTGGTTGGTGTATTTCAGAGTTAAGATCCAACCATCAGGAAGGCACCTTGGAGAAGACTTCAGTGGCTGATAAAACATGTGTGCTATGATCAGAAACTTTTCCAAAGGCATTGCTGAAGCACCTGCAATGAACTTTAGCTGAGTGGGTTGGGGGGCATTAAGCAGCATAGATAGAAAAATGAGGAATCATCCTCATTTTACAGCCTTCAGATATAGCTAGGAAGACACGTAAACATTCCAGGTGTTCAGTATTTTGATTTATGAAATTTCCCATGTGCTATTCATATATTATTTCTTTTTTTTTTCCTTGCACAAAGGGTTTTGATGGAAGAGATGGTGCCAAAGGTGATGCAGGTGCTCCTGGTCTAAAGGTACCATTTACATTTATTACTTGTTCAGAAGAAGACAGCTTTAGTCAGATGAAGTTCTTTAGAAGATGTTAAATAGTGCAATCTCTTGGGCTTCTCAGAATATTCACCTGTTGGATATATCCAGGCAGGACTGAATCTGCCTTTTTTCCCAGTAAGGGCTCTCCTAATTTTGTCATTCCCCCCCCGGAATCCCCCCCCCCCCTTTTCCCCCCCCCCCCCATTGGTATTTTTGTTCTGAAAAGGGAGGAAAAAAAGTTTTAGCCTTGGGGTTTTTTGGGGGGGGGGGTTCTCCCTCTGTGGTCAAAACTTCTCTTCTAGTCTA